ATACAACACATCGCTGTACATATTCAGTTCCAATTACATTCAATTGGTTCATATTTTAAAAGGCCTTAATACGACCTTGCGCGTTCATAGTGCTATCATTCATAAGGACTTCGGTTGCCTACAGAATCACGGCCTTTGTTTTTGTGGTTCGGACTCTCTCGAGCGAATCTTCTTCATTCTCTTTTTAGATAACAAAACACGATGATTTGCAGTAATTCAAAGGACTAGAATCCAATTGAATTTTATTATTACGGCTTCAAGCCAAACAAAAATGTGCGTGTCTAATGTGAAATTGAGTCGTAAAATCTACTGTCTCTAAATTCCCCAGTCGGCAGATCCCCACCCCACCCCACCCCACCCAGACATTGAGATGCTCCGATTCGGCTAGTTTGTCAGTCGGATGCGCAATTCGTTTAAACTGAACCCNCAGTCTCTTTGTCAATCGTGCCTACTTCGGTCATACACCCCTCACTCTTGAATCGGACTGCTGTTACAAGAGGTGTTGGTGGCTTAGCTTATTGTTTGTGTGTGTTGGTGGGCTCCCACAGGTCTACTGCCTCTCTCACCCTGGCAACTAGGTTAGAGAAATCTGAGAATCAGACACGTGACAAACAAAATCTGACCCTAATGTTGTGCTTTAGCTTGGTCCGATTTACTTGACATTTCGAGTCCATTTTTATCTTGATAGCTGGACGCCTTTACATATATATAAGAATAGTCGATCGTGGATCGCCCGTATCGATTCTGCTTATTGGCTGATCACAAGCACAATTGTGCACTGCTCCCGTTTGCCACAAGCCTAGGCATTGTAACCATACAAAACATTCATGGTTGATGAATGGCTAATTGTTGGGATAAGAAAAACATGGAAAAATTTCATTGTGGTACATATGATGAAATACAAAATATTCAATATCAACTGATTTAAGTTGTCATTATGGGGACAGACAAATTATGGGTTTTCGCGGTTGGTTGATGAATATAGTTGCTCCTACTAGTAAGTACCGAAGTAGTATACATGTTGCCATAACCGTTGAGGAAGCAGCATAAGCACGCTTGTGTTCTTGTAAGGTCCAAATTTTTAATCTATTATCGGTGCCAAGGAATTAGTAATGCTAATGGCGCCCAACTCGGTTGGAACAGTCCGGCAAAGTGCTCGTCTCTGTCTCCTGAAATAGAGTTCTCATTGCTTTTTAGTTGTGTACATTTCGGTCGATGATACAGATGAATGGGTGATCGCATTTTGAGGGACTTTTAAATGCCGCAAGCGCATCCGTCCTTTAATTGATTTCACTCCTGAATAAGAATAGTTCTGCGGCCAATTTCTTTCGGCATTTAACTATGTTTGTGTTACAGATTCCTCTTCTACTACTCGGTTTTTATTTAATGGCACAACTTAGGGTGCTCCGTGGCTGAGGTCATCACCGTCTTTGTATGCTGTGTTTAAGATCTCTCAAAGTTGGGTAGTTCAAGAGCAACCTGGAGATTATAAGTGCTGTAAAAAGAGAATTTGATCAGCAATAACCGATGATGGAATATCGGGGTGTATTGCTGTTGTGAGGCGGTACTCACATTTGTGAATAATACGCGTGTGGTGGTTTCTTTGTACGGTCAAAAATGAACAAGACTTCTGAGAGCGAATCGGTGTGTTCAAAAAGATAACTGCTGCCTGATACATTCATTATCCTGTGTGCTGCCGGGAATTGTGATGGCATGTTCCATGCTAAACAGACGTTAAATTATCCATACCCGAACTCTGGTTCGCAATAAATAACTGTCCTCTATCCATCACCAGTCTTCTGGAATTATACATTAGTACTGTTTCTCAAATATATATATATATATATATCAGAACAAGCGTTACCGTTTCCCGAATACTGATGCTGTTCTTCTGTAGGGTAAAAGGAATTCCCGGAGAGTGTCTGCTTTTGATCCAGGGGCAAGCATCACCATCGATGACACGGTGATCGAAGTTCCCTTCTCAGTGAAACCGATATTTTATCAAATGTCATGAGCATATTACAAACAATGCAAAAGTTCCCTGAGAGCAATAAAGACAATATCATGAAGAGGAAAATCATCGATGAAGTACAGCTCAATAAACCGAGGAAATCGGGAATGTCCAACAAATATTGTTCTGAATGATCCATGGTCTCTTCGTTATTTGCATGTCGATTATGAAAAGTTCAGTAGCCCCGGTGGGATTCGGACCCACACATGGACTCCACCTACGCTTTGTACGCGCATACTCTACTGAGCTACGAGGCCACACCAACAGTACTGATCTTTTAGCTAGACTGTCTCTGAAGTTTGGGATACTGTGCGTTTGCAATGGCAAGGATCTGACCGCGGAAATAATATAGCTATAGAGTGAGTATCCATTGGCTCATTTCAATGAGCAGTGGTTGGTGGGAATAAGCAGAAAATATACACAGAACAAGCTGCCTGCGAATATCGCAAATACATAGCAATTATTAGGAACGACACTAAATTTATTACCAAAATATATGTGAGGATTTTAAGGGATGTATGTACACCCCATTGAATTGATGGTTTTAAACGAGACGAAAACGGAGTTCAATATAGTAATTCTTTCGAGAATATTCAGTTACCTCTCGCCAAAAATCCGAGCGTTGGTTCATTCGTTTTTACAGGTATATGTATGGTGAAGTGTGGTGAAGTATTTCGCACTGCCTTTTCCCGATTGTTAGACTGCAACAAATGATGAAGCAGCATCAGTGGCTTTTTCCTGACACACTGACATTTAGCGTCCTCTATGCGGTTTGGTCAAACAAGGACAATAATGAACCATGATATTCCTTACATAAAGGGAGGGAGAGAGTACTAAAAATTCACTCAACGCAAATGGTGATGCTGTTCATCGAAAAAATGGGCCTCAGTAGATGAGTTTTATTGATCTGGTCGCTAATTTTTGTGCATAGTTCAAAGTATTTTGAACCGACTTTTATTATAAGATGGAACCTTTTCGTGGTTGTTTTCATCCAAACAAGTCGTAGGGTTTGGAAGACTTCATGTTGGTCACATGCTTACGTAACAAACTTGTTGTTTGATTCTTGCACTGCGCGATTCAATCAGATTTTCCACGAACATTTTTATGTTTCTGCTAAAACCGGGCAGGTCGTCAACTGGCCACTTATTCCAATTATATTACCGAAATCAATCGTACTACTTTTGTTAGCAGTTTTTATCTGGCGGTGAACCACTTTCAGACGGCTGCTTTATAAATGGTCAAATCAAATGAATGTTTTGTGTACACATGAATTGAAACACTTCCGTATCCGATAGTCATTCTAATATTAGACTGAAGAAAAGAAAATAAGGTAATAAACTTCCAATGAATTTTAGTTAGGTTTAGAAAAAGTTGACCTCGAGCTGTGATGTTTTTCTTTCGAAGCTGTAGATGTTCAATATAAAAAAGCATGCAACAGAGTAATCCGTTGCAGTAGAGCGAACGGAAATTCATGACGTAATCAGTAGGAAGGTATCTTTAATAAACAGAGTTCTGTGTGTGTTCATGTGTGTGTATTTGTGAATTTGCCCAATGTTCTGGTGGTGAATTTCCTTCACAGATTTACACGCCTTAATCAATGTTGAACTGGATGAGAGTTTGGGTGAGAGAAAGTGTCATTCCACTTGAAATGTGGCCACAGACCTTAACCATTGTATGACTGCATGTAAAACCTCAATTTCTGGGTGCTCGCATTTGCACATGCCGTTTCGCTTTTCGATCGCAGTTCTGTCAATGGTTATAACGGTTGGTTATCCTACGATTCGACTGCATGAAAGATGCACAAAGGACAACTGAAAAATTAACTAATACTGTTGCTCCTTTCGCTACGGGTTTCGTGATTTCAACTTGCCAAGCGATGCTATAAAAGTGACTACGGTTGCTTTGAAACTCAGTCATAAGGAATTTACTCCAGCGGGTACTTCTCTTGCACACACAGTATTATCACCAGTGATGATAATGTCACACGCATATTCAAGGCTCAAGTGACGTACGCCAGACAAAAGTGCCTTCCTTTTCGATTTGATGCTTCATGGCAGTTAAAAAAATAGTTGTATAATGCCACGATGTAATCGCTTCTACTTTATGGTTGTGAGACCCTGAGTTTGCTTGTGGAAGACTTCCGCCGACTGGAGTTTCTCGACGACTGACATTTACATAGTTCATCGCAAGGAGGACAGCGAGAGGTAATCCACCGTGCATTTAGGAGCGATTTGGTGGAAAAATCCTTGACACACCGAATTCGGATGAGTAAGTTTCACTGGCTGGTGAACGAACCGCCTGCTTCTAGTTGTTGCCTACCCCTCGCATTTGCCGCTTCAGGATTAAGCAAATCACGCGAAGGTTATTAGAGGGCTTGGAGAACTGCATGGACTGAGTAGGTAAAGTAGGTGTCTCTCTCTGATAGCCTGTTAGTTAGAAACAATGAATAATGTGGCCGGGAAACTACAGTATTGGCAGTGTGGTTGTCAGTTCGTACCAGGCCAAAGTCTTGAATAGATGTGTATGCACAATTAGACTGTGCACTCTGTCTGTCGGCCAAGGCGATTCAATTCCATTTTCATTCTGTCAAAAGAATCCCGCTCTCTAAAAATTTTACTTGTAGTTGAATACCTACAGACATCGTGGATTTGACAGCAATCAGTAAAGCCAGCTTCCTTTTATTGCACTGTGCGACGTTCATGATGAATATAACTTTCAATAAATTGTGGAACTTCAGGAAGCCCAAAGTTACCGAACGTTATCAAACTTCGATATTCTTGAAAACTAATCTTTTTCAATTGTTAGTGACTGTTCATTATCATGCCTATCTAATCGTGGCAGCTGAGGGCTAGTTGTTTTACAATTTACGAAGCGGTTACCTCGTTTTGAAATTACTTGCGGTTTTAAAACCTGTTTGCATGAACACATATCTCGACAGCAAGTTTTTATTGATAGGTTTCATTTTATGCATTTTTTTTGTTTCCTTCAGTTACCGATGCCCGATTAATATGTGCCACGTCCAATCAGATCCCATCCGCTAACACTTATTTTTGGCAATATAATGCCCAGTGCAAAGGACCCAAAGCCCTACGTTTGATTGAACTAGACAGTCAGACAGCAGTCAGCGGAAATTTACTCTGTATTAAATCTGAAGAAATTCCTGGCTCACTGGAGAGCGCCCACTTCTGTTTGACAGATCAACTATTACAACAACAGCAACAGCAGCAGCAGCAACAACAACAACAAGCCATGGCCAGTTCCTCAACTTACGGGGACCTGTTTGGACATTTGGACGAGAAGGAAACAAAACTGTCCAAATTGCTCACCAATTCATCGATCTCGCCGTATTCCTTACCCGATTATCCATTTGTCATATTCGAGGACCCGGTGCAGCGACGTTACGATCTGGTGCATTGTTCCAAGCTTCGACGTGGAGACGGGAACGATGTCACACCGAATCTCGCACGACTACGATCAATGGGGGAGGAGTTGGAGTGCTTGAATGAACAGTTGCTCGAGCACGGGGAAATTATTGTGGCCGGAGCAAGTGGTACCGGAACCACTCTTCACACTGCAGTTTCTTTTCCCTCTGTGGTCATGTTACCCGGGCATGGTATGAACAAACGGTCGGGAGCTTGTGTGAACTCAACCAGTCCGACCTCAGCAGCGGCTGTGGCAGCCGCAGCAGATGCTGCCGCGGCTGTTCTGTCTGGATGCAGATTGGTGGAACAGGCAAAGCGTGAAAAGAATAAGTTGGCAAGCAAGTGAGAATTGACTACGCTTTTCTCCTTTTTTCGTCTATCAACGCAAAACAACTAAGATTTGGAAGCAGGTGTAATCTGAATCACCATTAAAACGGGCCGAAGGTGGGCAATGAACAAAGTAAACTATCACAAATCCAAGATTTTCGATCTGAACCATTTCCAGAAGTTACTTTGGAACCTAGGACTCAACAATCAGCCCCCAAATTCCCGAAATCGTAGTCATGGAATTCATAATAATTTTCTGAGCACTTCTATATTCTTATGTATTTCAATTGCTAAAAGCAGTGGAACTCAATAACTTAGAAACAGTGTCAATATACCGTCGCTTAATAAAGCAATCTAATGATTTTGCTTCTAAGATACACAAAGCTGTAATTGAATGTGCAAACTGCGATTTTTTAACAATTCAAGCTAGGAAGGAACTCAAAGCAATTTACTTTTGTCGATTCGATGTATTTAACGTATGTTTCCAGAAGTGTGTCTATCAAATGGGCACCTCTTCAGTCACGTTCGTCTCTTCACGAATCACGGTGACCTTTGAACATACTCCGACCCTCAATTCAGTTTACTTGTGTGAACAGCATATATCATCTGAGATACATGTGACCAAATCATCAAATATTCAGTGTATCGCTGAACAGGTGGACAAAATAAAAGCATACAAAGGGCCCCCTGATAGTAGAAAGTCTTCCCGAAGAGAGATAATCCCTTTTGAGTGAACAGATTACACCGTTCCCAATTGGTTTTATCGTCGAGTGCTCCTCCAGAGCAAATAACTCTTTTGACTGAACCCGACTATCGAGTAGTTGGCCTACGTCAACAGTAGACGCCGCTTGGTCTTGTGTTGAAGACAGCTCGTAGGTTTACGTTTAAGATAGATATCAAACGCCACAGCTGCGTAATCCTGTGTGAAGATTCTAGGCTACTTAGTTGAAGTATGAATACTATCAGAGTATTTTAACTAACTGTGCCAGTGATGTTAGGAAATTCCGTTTATCTTGTGTTTTTGCGCGAGTTGAANACAAATGTAGTGGTGTCTGTTGCAACAGCACCAATGCCTTTAATCTTGTGAACAGCGAGGTTGCTAGGTTTGATTTTTAGAGACAACGGCAATCACACTCATCCGCGCGAATAAATCTTATCAAGACGATCCACGTTGAAGGAAGGCCTGAAACTTGATAACTATGTCAATGACATCAGTTAACACGAAAATGGAAGTTCCTCAACGAGAATCGTATGACAATTCAGTAAGTATTTGTGGATGAAGAGGCCTGCTAGTACGGAAAACAGTTGAAAGAGAGAATACAGCCAACTGTAATGAACATGCCGAGACGTAAATCTCCTTAAGCGAGAACGACAGAGAAGAGATGGACCCATTGTGGAAAGATTTCGATGAGGAGTACCGCTGAAAGCGCAAAGTACTAACAACAGAAGTAGAAAAGATGCTAGCTAGTCATTCTCTCGTTTATTCGAAACACAGGCGACCAATCCCTCCCTTATCAAGCCTCTCTTTTCAGATGTCGAGCTCCTGGGATTTAGCTTTTTCTTTGCGCAGAACTAAAAAACATCTTTCAAAGTAGGATTAACAAGTTGAATGTTACCCTACTTACTCCTTCTTTATAACATACCCCTGATCGCAAGTGCTACCCCTTTTTATAAACCACTTTATGTGCAGTGAAGAAGAACAACCACTGAATATCTGGAGGCAGTCCCAATCCAACCACGACTTTACTAACATTCACAAGAAGTGGGGAAATGCAATAAACAAAAGCAAATCAACAACGACAAAGCTGTTTGCTGATCGTTCGTATTGAACAGCTCTCGTGACACGAGACAAGAGTCAAATATTGTTTCTTCAATTTCAATTCACTTTTATC